TCAAGAAGTGGGCCACTGCCAAGAAACTGGTGAGGCTAGGTAGTGCGTGAGACATAACTGCAATATGTTCCATGCGTGCAACTGATAGTATTACTTGATCGCATGAATTACCCGTCACATCCTGATGGCAGGGTCTGTGAGTACAATGATGGCGAGATCAAGTATTGGGTCAACACTCGTACCATGGGCACCTTGAGTCGTGAAGATATGCAAAGCTATCAGTGTCTCATTCCCACGAAGGAGAAGGTGGTGATTCAGTAGTTCCGGACATGAACATGGGACATGGTGGCTTTGACAATTTGGGCGATGCTGAAGGGAATTTGGAAGTTGAAGGGGTTTCCTCTTTGCAGGCTACTAAGCTCAACTATACCAATTTAGTGCCCACAAGAGCAGAAGATGCGTTTTGATTTAACGATGATGGCATGTGCCACTATGCTAATCAAAATGGGGCTAAGTCGAAGGTTGCCCTCTACTTCAAAAACGCCCTGAAGAGCGGACAACATCAGAGACCTTGCTGCGTCAGACCCTGCTTCCAAAGCATTCCTTGGTTTCTCACAGCCCACCTCCATGGTAGCATCGGCCACCCATCCAGCCAGCGGATCTCCAAGTCCTTGGATGGTGCGTGGCTCTCAGGACCCTGACCAAGTTGGAGCAGATCGTCACTAGTTTGAACGACCAGTACGACCAGCTTGCAGAATTGCAGGCCGAGGGAGAAAACTACAGGCTACTCTGAAGAGTCTCTTGGCCATGTAACTCTTCCAATAAAGTTTGTGACATGTGTTTGCAAATGTCCGGAAATACGTTTGATAGCGCCTTGCTGTATTTAAATCATTGGTGATGCCGAGGTTGAGAACGGCAAGCTGAACACTCTGTTCAACTACTTGACGAAAGCTAATCTTGGTAACCACTGCATCTAACCAAGGTAATCACGAAAGGTAGCCCTTTACGGGATACCTTGTCTTGCGAAGCAAGTGCTGGGACGTCCGGGTCTAATAATTGATCGCTCAATTCAGACCCCCCCCCCTCGAATTGATTTTTCAATACAGACCCCCCCCCCGCCCTGTTGGAATTGATTTTTCAATACAGACCCCCCCCTCCCCCCCTCTAAAATCAATTCTCTCCTGGAGAATTCGTGAGCCTCTCATTATTTCAGGATAGTTGAAACCCTCTTGAACATTCAGAAAGAGTTCATATGAAATTCTAATCACGAAAGGTGTTCCCCGAGGGGATACATACCTAGAGTTTGTTTTGTGAAGCACGTCAATTCTCTCCTGGGGAGCGTCTTCGTGAGCCTCTGATGGTTTCAGGATAGTTCAAATCCTATGATGTTCCGATTCAATGCTCACCGATGATCTGAGCCATGGGGCAAGTTTGTTTTCCTAAGAATCTTTTTGAACATTTCGAGAGCACATGTTTGAACATTTAGAGTGCATATGAACATATATTTACGAAAGGTCGCCTCCGAGGGGATAAATCACCATGTCGAACATTGCATTTTTGTTCCTGCCTCTCGCGTTCTCTTGTCTTCCCGCTGTCCTACCTTTCGTGTCTCCCTCCTCTCAAGTTAGCTTATATATATATAACAGAGTCTGTCGGAACTCTTATTCCCTAACGTGGTGCATGTTGATCTAGCAACTTACCTTCACCGAGGTGTCTCCATGCATGTCCTGAGTTGCAACTCACCCTTCGCCCAAGCGTGTCAAAGAGAACAACTGCCCAAGCTTCTGCAGGGTCAGGGGCCAAGAACAATCGAATGCCACTGCAGTGCCTCAGAACACGCAGGTTGCAAGCATTCCCACGCACCAATCCAAGTCAGCAATGCCAGCCACTTCGTTGCAAAGGCTAAGAAAGCAAAGCGGGTGAAGAACGAGTGAGCTTGGTGTAAGCAGCGCGCAGCGCCCGGGATTCATTATCTTTTTGCCAGTTGCGCCAAGAGTGCCAACTTTGGACAAATGATATCGATGTGAATTTAACATGTGTCAATATGGGGTTGCAGTCCGGGCGACGGCGTGTGGAAGTACACGCAGCTCTAAGCCTGTGATTGCGCTACGGCTTGGGGACAAAAGGGGTGAGCCGTTTCTTTGGCACGCAACCGCAGTGAACCCCACTCAATGCTTACCCGAGCAATGCACGCGCAAAAACTCTTTCTCATATCACGCAATCAGAAAACCACCCCAGTGCCCCACCGGAGGTGTGAGGACTCAGCTCGGTGACACAGTTCATCACACCGCAAAGCTATATGCAAAAGGGTTTCTGGGATTGGTGAATATATAGGATCAATCCAATTTCTGCAACTTTTTCTTTACCATACAGCCTCCTTCCTTGCGGTGCTATCTTAGGCTACTGCTCTGGATTGCGTGGAAGAAGCCCAAGCTGCTGCAAAGTGCGACAAGTGTCCAACACTTCAGCAGATAGCCAAGGCTCAGGTGGACAATGCGGATGAACCACTCTTCCACGCCTCAGTTGGGTGCAAGGTGTTGGTTGTGTGAAGCGGGGACAAACAATGGTCCCTGCATTGAAGATGTTCGCGCAACTTCAGCTGCTTGGACCAAAACATGTGGTCTTGCAAACCCTCTTCCATGCGCTGAGACTGAGCCTGGACCACTACTGAAACGATTGCCAGCCAACGAGCTTGACCTGGCTGCTTTCTCGCGAACAGATTTGTTCCATGTTTTTCACGCTGGAATTGGACTGCCTCCAGCGTCGTCTACATCGCTTTCAACCAAGGAAGGTTCTCGAAGTTATATAGTTGAGCGTCTTTGTTTTCAGCGTGTGCGCAATTTCCCTGATGATCGCCTGCTTTCTTTGACCTATGAGGGTTGCGGCGCCGCTCACCATTTCTTTCATGTGGGTCACGCATTCCTCTTGTGACCTTAAGTGCGTAATCAATCCGGTGGCAGAATCTACTTTTATGAGCGAAGATCTGGTTGGGCGGCCTTAGCCGTAGAGTTTCTGCGAGAAAAAACAGGTACAGTGTTGCGGTCCATCACCATTTGCGCAACCCTGACGGTTTGAGCTTCTGAGGAAAAGTTCAGCTGATGCGCTCTCTGGGTTTTTGTTTTGGCAGATCCATGTGAAGCTACTTATTTTTGAAGAGTGCTGAACAACCATTTTTTTTTTGAAACGTCCATGTTCTGGCCTGCTTTAAAGCAAGTGTTTCACTTGCTAGGTATGTATACGCTGCATACGTTCATTTATCATCGTTCTCTGAAAGGTACGGTACCTAGTACTGGAGTCAGAATACCCGTCAATGACCCAGAGTGCACGACCATGCTCCAATTCCAGTTCATACTTTCTGCAGGGCCGAATTTGGATGTCTGCAAGCTACAAGTCGGGGCAAATAAATACCAGGTTTGTACAGCGGAAGCACTCAGCTCAGTGCATTGCGCATTTGCCAGAAGTTGGTCTTCAGTTAGTTGGCGTCGTCCATATTGAAGTATAGTTCATTCTGCTGGGAAGCTGTTCTTAGCCAAGATGCCAGGACTACAAGTCTGATCAAGCGTGCGTGCTGTGGCATATGACAGCAGGGTCAAGATGTAGCAGCCGTGATTATAAACAGGGGTGGAGGCCATTGCTAGTAGGTTGGAGGCACTTCCCAGGAGGTTGGAGGGCCATCGCTCTTAGGTTGGAGGCCATTGTTTCAAGGTTCTTCTTCGTTTTGGTTTTGTAGTAGGTTGGCCGGTCAAATCATGTCTCAACCACATAATCGCCACCTGGATCCGGCCGAGGGTGCCGCGTAAGAGCCCGATGACTAATGATAGATCATGCAACCTCACGCTCTTGTGACTTGCGTGTTTGTTCGCTTGGCCATTCAGCTCATCAGAGTCACACATAGATATAGGGCTAGTACTTGGGATCTGGAAAAATTCTTTGATCGGAAGGATCACATCCCACCCATATGAGAAGGGCATTCCTCGGTAAATGCACAGATCTTCATCAAGGCACCATCGGCATAGGTTCCTCAACTTTTGTTCTGGCGCTGCATGTGACCCAAGTCGATGACAAACCCGCGAAGTCAAAGAGTTCATGTGACCCTGTCAATAACAAATTACAATGGGAAAACTGATGTTGAACAAATTGTAAATTGTAAATCTAAAATCTAAAATTCATTGACCCAACATACTTCGTCATCTTTGCCCGAACGGTATGGTGTTGCATGTGTCACCGGCAGCTGCACCGGTGCCCGTGAAAAAATGGACACTGCCCTCGAAAGTCCAGGTGTCACTCGGCGTGATCCAACCATTTTGGAAAGATACCAGCTACCAAGCAATGGTCCTAGTCCTTGAAGGAATGTCATGTTCTTTGCATGTTTATGAGTTGACGGAACTGGCTGAAAGAGGCAATGACTTGAAGCAGAGCACGCCCGAGGTCTTTATTGAGACCAGGTGATGGAGAACATTTCCTTCAGAGGCCACATGGCATCCTCATATAGCACCAACAGCGCTGAGCTCGCTTACAGGTCGTGTTTGCATTTGGAAAGCATGTGTTTTTTGTTTTTCTGTAGGGCGCTTTGAAAGTGTTTCCACATCCGGATCCTTAAGTACAGTGGCCAGGGGATGCCAAAACTGAACGAAAGGCCACGGCACGAGAAAACTGTGACAGTGTTATTCTGTAATTCTCGTGTATTGTCCTCATGCTAGGTCCTGCTGGGCCCTAGGTTTCTCAGCAAGGACGGGTGCCATGCCACTCCATGCCACACCCAGCCCATTGCAACAATGAAACTTTGCTGCAAAACTCTCCACTGGGAAGCAAACAACCAATCGAGTTGTTTCCAAGGAAAACCCAACCCTGAGAAGAGTTTTCACCATACAGTTACGAGAAGTCCTTTCCAGAATGACTTAGATGGCTATACACCGCCAAAAATCAGAAGAAAACAAAGCCAACGACGCTCGACATCCACAGACTGATGCTCCACATCCAGGTCAGCAAAAGCTCACCTGGTGGGCCGCTTGCCATGCGGTTCCATCTTTGAGAGTACCCAGGGCAAGGGTGGAACCCCCATGGAGCTGAAGAAAGGGCAGATCATTCCAGGCATGGAACTCGCCATCCAGGAGAAAACAAGACGCAGAGACTCCGCATTGTCCGAGAGAGATGGTTTTCTTAGAGAGACGCAAGTTGTATGAGATTGTGTGAGGGATTGTGTCCGGGATGACACACACACACAAATGCACACTCTCCAGGAGCTGTCCTTAGGTTCGATTGCAGAGATCAGGATTCCGTCAGATTTGGCCTATGGGAAGAACGGCATACCTCGCACCTCGGACACGTTGCGTCACTTCTGGAACGATCGTCGGACGAGATTTGTCCATTGAGACCCCCAAGGGACAGGGATGTGACATCAGATCCTCAGGTATAGTGCCACCTGAGAGTGAGCTGATCTTTGAGATTCATATCTTGGAGGTCGATGGTCTGCCATGCGACGAGGACAAATTAGGCAAGCTAGCCAGACCAGTGGATCCGCTTGGTCTTGGCCCTGGCGATTTCTGTCATCCCTGGTGGCTGGCTAGGGTCCAGCCACTTGGCAGTCTTCAGAGGACCATGCATGACACTATCTTCGGCAATTGTTACTTGAGGAAAAGCACTTGAGCCATGGATTTGGCGTCGTTCTCACCCGAGGCTCCCAAGCCCCCCCCGCCTACTACTTGAACTTCTGCGCTCAGACAGCCAAGGGTCGGAAGCCAGCCGCTCGACCTGAGAGCCTCGAGGCATAGCGATGGCCTTTGCTCCAAAGGTCTTGTTACTAGTAGCGTCCTTGTTACTACTAGTAAGGCACTTGTTACTAGAAGCGATGCACTTGTTCCTAGTAGCTTCTTGTTCCTAATAGTAAGGCCAGGAGCCCCTAGTAGCGTCCTTGCTCCTAGTAGCGATGCCAGGAGCCCCTAGTAGCTTCTTGTTACAGGTGAAACATGGTGAAACAGTGAAACGATTCCCAAGGAAGCCTCTAGCTACTAGTAGCTTCTTGTGACTAGTAGGAATGCCAGGAGCTACTAGTAGCGTCCTTGCTCCTAGTAGCGATGGCCGAATATCCGTCGGTTCCTGAACCTTTCAGCCATAAGGCTTCCTATAAACCTGGTAAGCCTTCAGCAAGAGGTACCACAGGCCAAGACCTGCGAGCAGGTTCATGAGGAGATGGCAGATTTCCATAAGATTCCACTTTGAGGGGGGTGAAATCAAGATAAATCAAGAAGGCTAAGACGATCTAAGCTGAGGTGAGATTCATGTGTTCCGTTTGGTCGATCTGGTCCGACCAGAGGTGTTGCTGGAGAACGCCCGGTCTGTGGCAAGAAGAAAGAGCAGTGAGCTGACCAACTTCGATGTGGGAACTGCTGATGAACCCTTCATCATCACTGATCCTGGATGCAAATCTGAAATGTTTACAATGTGCACATCACTGCGATGTGGGCAAATGGATTAATTCTTTCTGAAGTCAGAGATGTATCATGATGTGCTCAATGGACCATCGAATCAAAACCCAATTCCTTAGCTGAGGACGTGCAAAGAGGATGGCAAGCAAATGGGCTTTGGGACCTCAAGTGGTTCGAAGATCACTTGGGCGACAAACGGCAACTCTTGAAATGGCTCGGCCCTGTCTTTACACGCCACTGGGCCTAAGTCTTGAGTCGCAGCATGTTCAGAACGGCTGGATGCGACTCACCACATCCCCACAGGTCAGGAGTGCCTTTGGGAGGCTCCAGTCTATGAGACCTCCGTCAGAGAGTACATCAAATATATGCGGGACTTGGAGCAGAAGGCGGGATGAGACAGGAAGTCGCGTGGAAGTCGCATGTCAGCATGTTTGGTCATTGAACCTGGCGTCCAAGCATGACCGCCGCAAGGATCCCAATTGTGACGAAGAAAATGCAGCTCAATGCCCACGGTATCTTGGATTTCTTGCTGACGTGTATGACAGTGTATGATGTCCATGAGTAAAACTTAGATAATTAGTATCCGCCATGTTCAGAATGCTTCCGAACCTCTCAGCTTGATGAGGCTTTACCTCAATGGATGGCCTGCCTTTGCGCAGTTGCCTTGGTTGCGAAGCTTTGTTCTCCCGGATGGCGGAAGAGAAGCGGCTTCATCCATGCAAGGCTGCATCGAGGTGGGAGTGCGGAACGAAAGTTGCACGGTGGGAGTGCGGGACATGGACCGTGCGCAGGTGCCGCAGGGGCTTTAAGCAGCTTAGACCCGAAGAGCTACATTTGGGTTGCATGGTGATTAGCGAGAAGCTATTCTAACATGTCTGGCCTTTGATGACAATCATCCCGACCAACTGCAAGCACCAGAACATAGCATCGGCAACATGCCTAGTTAGGACTACTTGTAGTCATGTACGGTTAAAATATAGTATAGTTATGTATCGGTCTTATCCATAAGCTGGACTGAACCCCAACAAGAGGTACGGCCACCAGCACCCACCAAGTAAAAGCCTTGGAGTCAGAGTGGATTGTGCGCTGCGTGCCTGCGTGCGTCCCACCGGTTTCGACAGGATCTCAACTTTCTCTTGATCCGGGAGTCGGAAGCCTTGCGCGAGGCTCCAAACCAGAAAGAATTGTCCCAAAGCTTCATGTGATTCAGACCTGGTGGTAGAAACTGTGGACACCTTGGCTTCATACTTTTATGATCTTTTATGCTGAGCTGGCTAAGCGCTTTGGATCATTGAGCTTGCGCCAGTCTCTTCTGGAAGGGTTGACGGCCAGAGGCAGCTATCAACCGTCGGAGCCAAAGATCATGATAGAGCACAAATAAGACTCCGCAGAGTGCTTCGGGTTTCCATTTGCCGTTGGCAACGCCCTTGCAGTGCACCCATCTAATATGGCATGTCAAGAGGCCCGACAAAGCAGAGCAGACGCAAAAGCTGGAAGACGAGGCGACGTTCCTTTTTTAAAGCGTAGTGTAGTGTGCCTCACGGGAAAGAAACCAAGCAAAAACAAAGTTTGTTTCCGAAGACGCGTAGTTTGACGAAAACAAGGCATTTGGTGGCCAAACAATGTGTGACTCGGGTGCGTTGCTTTGCTTGGCTAGTCCTTTTTCAAGGGCTAAACCCGACAAGGGTGCTTTTGAGGCTTGTGACTCAACATCAGAATCATATAATACTAGGCAATGGTAATTCTGGGCCATATACTCATCACGGATGTGTGCTGAGACGGATGCCAGGATTGGGATTTGACGAAGATCTTTATGTCTCCCAAGGGTGCCATCACTCGCCTTCACTATGACAATGGTGGTGCTCATGCTGCATCACTCAGACTGACAGCGGGCCTTGTGGGGCACAGAGACAAGTGTAGGTTGGAAGCCTTTGCTATTAGGTTGGAGGCCATTGCTACTAGAGCAAAAACATGCAAAAACGCTATTCAACTACTTGTAATTATTTCTCAACTGTCGGATTTTAGTGGTCACCAGTCATGACTCTAATTGTCCTCAGTGCAGCGAGCCTGGACAAGCCAACCACATGATAGCCGTTTAAGGAATTGTCCTATATAAATCTATATAAATTATTACGAATTCTATTGACTTTCATGCTAGAGGTATGATCAAACATGATTCAAGCGGCAGCATACGCTGAGGCCTGGCTTTCCCAGATCCAAGGCGCGAGATGGTATTTGGGCACCTTTGATGGCCCTTTAAAAGGGGCCTGAACGTGTTCGAACGCGTTTTGTCGATCTTTGAAGGTGTTCCCTTATTGTGTCCACTCTGTGTTCCCTTCTTGGATGTCTTGATGCAAGTGCACCGGCGCACCGCGTTACCCCGTTTTGCAAGACCTACGGCGATTTGACATGTTTTTCCCCGCCAGGGCGAAAGATGTTTGTGTGCTTCGCACCATCAGTTTGGAAGCCCAGATCCGGAACCGTGGAAAACTCAAAGCGAACAGCCGATGATGTTTAAGTCCAGAAGTAGCTTCCACCGTCATTCTCAAACTCCTTCCCTAAAACTCTTCAGGGTGGCATGGGGAGAGAGGAAAAAAAAGCAAGACAGAACAGGTGTAATTAGGCTGGAGACTTGCATGACACGCATATATAAATATAAATATATATATATTCAAGTGAGGTTAGCGAAGGTGTTTCCCTAAATTCAGGTCATGAATGTTCTGTTTGGGATCGTTGATAATAAGGGTCCAAGCCTCTGATTTTCTCGGTTCCAGATCAAGCCTAGTGGCGTCCGATCGCTCCTAGTAGCGATGCCCTTTGCTCCTAGTAGCGTCTTTGTTCCTAGTAGTAAGGCCAGGAGCCCCTAGTAGCGTCCCTTGCTCCTAGTAGCTGTAGCATTTCACGAGTTGGTGACGCAAATGGATGCAAAGGGCAGACTTCAACCCACAGCGATGCACGCAGCCACGCTATGCTACCCTCCGAAATCCTAAATTGTTCTTTTGTGAGGCTTTCTTCAATTGCTAAAATCGTCATGAATCATTTGTCTTTCACTTCCTGGTTGCTTTGTCCTTTGGTCAAACCACATGTTTCAGAGCAGGACAAGCCCTGCCGGGGTTTGGCATCAAGACCTCCCACCATGTTTGTCTCAGCCATGGGGCGAGCGGCACATCAGCTTCGAAGGCTTCGGAAGCCAGAGGCGGGCAGCGCCTGGCTCCTTGGTTCATCGCTTTCTAAGATGATCATTTCACAGGAGCTTCAATGTTTACACTTTTGTACTCGCTCACTATTCCAACCGCCCTTAAAACTGGAGCTTGCTTCTCCTTGGGGGATATGTTACATGTTCGTCGTTTTGACCAAGTTGGAGTGCAGGTTCTTGCGGCGCTAGCGGGTGCATGCATCGCAAAGGAGACGCGAAGGCCTCCGGTTGTTGTGCTTTCTGCAGTCGCTAGGCATGTGAAATTGCAACAGCTGGGAAATTAGGCAGGTATGAGAGAGGGAAAAGTTTGGCCCACTTTTGAAGGCTTCACTGTGATGTACTTTTTGACGATGTGGCTTGGAAGCAGGGAGTGAGTTCTAACTACCCATTTTGCATCACCCTGTAAACGGAACATTGAGAAGTTAGAAGTGTCAAGGGCCCGTTGCTTGCAACAAAGGCACTTCATTTGTTCCTGAGATTTCTTGATCTAAGACCGTTCCGCAGAGGATGAAACTGATGAAATGAGTAACACTTTGTTAACACATGTTAACACCAAGTTGTTCGTTGCCGCTATCGACGGCTACTGTTGGGAAACAAGCAGCGTATGGAGGCAGGAAAAGGAAAGGACCGAAGCATTGGCATAGTGTATATCATTATTCTAAACAGTAAGGCTTAGTATGGTCAAGAGAAAAATGTACATTGTCAGTTTCATGCGTTCAGGAAGCGGCTTAGTACGACTCGCGATCTCAGGACGAGAAGCAGCGCATGGAGCAACAAGCAGCTTTGGTCCGCAGCATTCAAGTGGGCGATGTGAGTACTGTGATGGGCAGCTTGCACGATGTGGATGCGCAACTGACCTCTCTAGGCGCAATGTTCAAACATATTTCGGAGTATCCGCTCACCTTCAATCCATCCCTTTCAATTCTCGAATTATCTAAACTTATTGCATTTGAGTGCGGCGAGAAAATGTGATTCTGCGCCGGTTAAACATAGACTGAAGAGATAGACTCTCTAGACTCGGTAACCAGCTCCGCCTTCCACACCAGGCCAAACAGCGTTGCACATCGCCAGTGCCTCTGGTGCGTTGCCTTTGGTGGTCGCTCTACTTAAAGCGGGAGCTGATTGCAACCGTTGCGACCGTACGGGTGCCTCGGCCGTGGCGCTGGCGGCGGCTGCAGGTCATGCACACGTGCTGGAGAAGCGGCTCGGACGAAGCGGCTGGAGCACCGCACTTTTTGACTTGGGAGCGATCGGACGCTACGTTCGGGGCTCCTGGCCTTACTACTAGTAACAAGAAGTTATTAGAAACAAGAATTAGAATTAGAATTAGCAAATTGCAAGATTTACAATAAGTGCATGGCCTCCAACCTGATAGCAAAAGGAAGCCAATGCGATGGCCTCCAACCTATTAGCAATGGCTGACTTGACCCCACACTTGACCCCATGCACCTTGAATTGCTGAGAGTTCCTATGAATTTGTGGCTGCAGTTTCTTGACATGATGTGCTAACTCGTAGGGGGGGCCGGGGTATCTGTGGCATCTTGCCATGAGTCAGTTTATTTTGCCCGGGCTATGAGCCTCAGTCTGTGCAACGGGGGTGACACTTGTATGAAGTCATGGTCGCGGAAACTTCGAATCACCAACTTCGTTCACACATGAGTATTGAGGCTTCTCGAGTGCAACTCCATCAAGGTGCCTACCTATGATGTTGCTGGCCTGACACCGGTTCACAAGGCAGTCGGTTTTGGACAGCCTGACTGCTTGAGAAGTCTGTTGGATCATGGGGTAGACCCCAATGTCCCGACAGGAGCTCTCACATGCTCATTTGTTGCCACAGTGGGCCAACCGCCACAACTGCATGGGGTTTTCGCGAATTATGCTTGGCGAATGACAGTTAACATGTAGAATATCCTGCCCATAGGAGTCTGGGAGAGATTGCCAAGCCGATTCCCAGGAGAGGTGACTTTGCCAGCCGACTCTGGTGCTGCACCATCTCGTCACGAGACTGCTTTGCATATTGCCACCCGATTGCTCACGAGGGCCATCAACAGCCCTGACGGCGCTGGGTCGTCAGAGCGGCAGCAGCTGCAGCAGCGAGAGCTCATGCGGATGCTGGTGAGTTATCGGGCTAATGCCCTGGCAAAGGATGTGAATGGTGACCCGGACAAGCTTAGTGTTGAAGAGTTTCATGTGTTTTATCGACATGACTTGACTTAGTTTAATTACTTTCAAATGGTTATTTTTTGCAATCTTTCCAACTTAGATCTTTCCTCTTCATGGGAGATCGAAGAATGGAGACTGACCGAGGCGACACACCTCTACACTTCAGTGCTCGCACCGGCGACTTGTGGGGTTTCTGCCTGCTTTTGGATAGCGTGGACGATCCACAGGAGGCGCTTTCTGCATGCAATGCCTCCGGCCAAAGCGTGTGGCAGAGCATCGCTGAAGCCGCTGAAGGTTCAACTTGGCTTCGCCTGGCAGCGAGAACGGCTCCCAGTGTCGTTCGCCTGAAGCGCCTGCTGAGTGCAAGTGCCCCTGGTGGCTGAGAAAAGATGTCTCTCTCTCTCTCTCTAATGGCTTGAAGCCTCAGTCGGGAACCCCCTTTAGACTATGAACCCGGCTTTAGGTTTGGCTATGTCGTTCTGACATGTTCTGACTTCATCTGACTACTTGCCCTTAGGTCTTGGAAATCGTTGAAATCGCATGACCATGCATGCCCTACTTGAGGCTTACAATTGGAATTAGTCGGTTTTCAGCACCAAGGATGGCGAGCATTTGCATCCTTTCGAAGGCGACGAAGGTCTACTGAACGGTTCTTGGCCACCTGGCGGCCGTTTGCAGTTGTATGGTTGGCAAGTAAGAGCTTTTGAAAGGAGGCCATTGCTTCTATAGGCAAGAACGCTACTAGGAGCAAAGGGCATCGCTACGAACGGAGCAACCGTACGGACGTAACAAGAACGCTACGGACGTAACAAGAACGCGGCTTTCACCGGGGGATCGCCCTAAGGCTCGACCCTTTGGACCCAGACGTCTTTGAGAAATGGCCGGTGGGAGTCGGATGCCGCACGGTCAATGTCTGGCCTCGGCATGAATGCAAAGAGAAAAACATTCATTGAGTGTTCAAGTGGCATGTGGCTCTGAAGCGCTGCACATCCTTCAATATCTTCAATGAAAAGACCTGGTTCGAACATGTTTGAACTATTTGGCTATGGGGTTAGTAGATGACGGAGAGTTCGGAGTCAGCAGCTGGTAGCGATCAAGATGCAGGATGCAAAGAAGGCTACACCTTACCTTGCAGTGGTGGAAGCAGGGGAGACCATTGTGGCACCCAAGGCTGGCTAGAGCAGCATGAGATAGCTGGAGTGTGCTGTGAATGTTGTGGTAAAAGCTTCCCACAGAAGTGGCAAGGCCCCAAGGCCGGCACAACGCACGTACTGTATTTTGGTGAGTGTGCTAGGCAGTCGGACTCCAGTCCATGTGATGTTTCTAGAAAGGACAAGAAAGTAGGATGGAGCCGTCCTGACTTGACAAATGTTGGTCCAGGTGCGATATCTTGAGCTAAGCGGCTAAGCACGCTTGAAACCGACCAACGCACATTTCCCATGCGCCAGGGCTGGTGGCATTATGCTGTTTCACTTGACAGCTCGGTGAGGAGCCCTAGATGCCCGCACCGGTAGAGGTTTTATCATCGGACCGTAACTGCCACGGAGGTCACCATCATGCGGAACTTCTACAGCACAAGCAATCAATGGGATTTGCCACTTGGCTAGACGACAGGCAATCCATGGTAGGCTTAAAGATCATTTTGGCACTTCTTCAAAACATGTTCCAAGTGCAGTTTTTACTACCAGGGGCTCCTGGCATCGCTACTAGGAGCAAGGATGCTACTAGGGGCTCCTGGCCTCGCTACTAGGAACAAGGACGCTACTAGGAGCAAAGGGCATCGCTACTAGGAGAAAAAGGACCTCCCACAGAGTCTTCACATCAGCCGAATCCAGGATCCGGCGGAAGGATGGGGGCTTGGCTGGGGCAATTGCCACCCATGCCCTCGCCTCGATTCAGAGTGCCTCAGAGTTTGTTGCCTCTCTGGATTGGACTTGGGGAACGTGAGGAAAAACTTGGGAAACGAAACAAACATGCTTGACAACTGGATTTCTGACATTGCCGACTGTCTTTGCTAGTGAAAAATGGCGAGCCTGGTGAGCTTGGCGAAAGAGATAGTGAACTCGTTCTTCAACCACTCTGTCATCCTGCCAAGGTCTTGCGGAAGCAGCCCAAGCTCAAGAACCAACCAGACTCGGTGGGGTACACGTGGGGTATGGGCAAGAGTGTTGAGCGAACAATATTTTGTCCATTCCGCACCGCACTGCAGGTCATCCAAGAAATCGCACAGAAAACGGTGCTGAAGTTGCGTGTGGCGCCAAAGCACCAGATGGTATCCCAGCCTTTTGAAGAAACACATTGATTACCGGTGTGAATAATTGGTGTTTGTTCTTCACATGTGCATGCCGAGCAAACATGAGAACTGCGAACATTGTGCCTGGCACATTGTGTCACGGCGCTCGTCCTGAATGCAAGGTGGGAATAGATCGAGTCAACCAGTCATTCGCAATTAGGTTGGAGGCCATTGCCATTAGGAACAAGAAGCTACTGGTAACAAGGGCATCGCTACTAGGAGCAAGGATGCTACTAGGGGCTCTTGGCCTTACTACTAGGAACAAAAGACTTCTAGTAACAAGAAGCTACTAGGGCTCCTGGCATGTAGCGAAGCAAGGATGCCACTAGGTTGGAGGCCAGTCTTGACCGGACGAATAGGGACTGAAAGACTGGACCCCAAAGACGCCCCCCTCGGCGACGGCCTTCACGGGATGTCCCAGAGTCCGTTCTGAGGTGAGACCTTTGTGGAGAACCGCCAGAAAGTGCAAGCTTAAAGCCTTCTGCAAGCACGTGGTTGGCCGATGTAGACCATTTTGTCTTCCAACATGCGTGAGTCATCTCCCATCCAATGCAGCCTCTAACTGTTTCTTTTGGTGGTTGAATGCTATTGGCCGCGCCAAGCGGAACAGGTTTCAGTTTCAGGTGGCCGTGAGCTGTAAGAAAAGAAATGGGCGGCCCAGCAAATAGCCAGGTGGAACCAGATGCTTACATCCTGCAACATGAATTGGCTTATCTCATGTCGTGACAGAGCACAACGTGAAACTGCTTGCAATTGGCAGGTTGGCTTGTAAAATCAGTTTGGACCGGGCCGTGTGGCAAATTCAGCATCAAGGGCCGTGGGGAGGAGACAACCTCCAAAAGCCCCCACGCCCAGCTTCTTCGCATGGCCATTGATGGCAGGGCTCTCGGAATGTATGCCATTGCCCGAATCTTTTCCAGTCACTACCTGGTGACTATGCCAAGCTATTGGGAACGATATACTAGGATGCTTTAGGAACATACGCTTCACAGCGCCTTGTTCGGTCCTGCACCTCACGAGGAGGATGAGGTCTCTTGGGATCTGTTTGGGGTTGTGCTTGGAGAGGGGCGCATCCACGTCCGTCACAGTCGGGGCTGAGGCCCTGTGGTTCCATACCTTTCTAGCGTGGCTGGCTGCTGGACAAGCTGCCTTGATTGATGATGTCAATGTGGTGCGTCTTGGACAGCATAAACAGTATGCAGAAAACTGTGGGGTGGATGGTTAGGGACAGGGAATGCAGCCTTGACCTGGGACATGGTCTTATCGCAGTGTGGGTCAGTGGGTGTTTGGGATACAAAGGCAAGTGAATCAGTCAGAGGTGTGCATGTTCAGTCAGGTGCTCGGTGCCTGAATCATACTCCAGAGAGAGTTTGAAGAAGCTCATTCAATTGAATTGCGACAAGGCAAGGCAAATCCAATCGTTGTCGTTGTGTGGTTTGGCCCGTTTGCTTTCAGATCATGTCATACCTGCTGCCCACGGTGCATGGCCAGGTCAGCAAGTCGGTGGAAGACTTCACCTCGTTAGGGTCGGGGGAAACTGATCTCGACCGAGGCGCGAGGAGACGAAACTCGTCTCATCTCCAAATGATACGTGCATACGATCATGCTTCCTATGACTATCACATAAAGAGAGGAGAGAGAGAGCCTAGCGATGGCCTCCACCCTAGTAGCGATGGCAACCTCCAACCTAATGCAGAGAGGGAGAGAGACAATTACATAAAAGAGTACGCATGACCCAAACATTCACAATCTGTCCACGCGGACGCGGTAGAGGGGATCTCATGGGCTTTACGAGCCTTTGCGAGGGATTCTGGTGTCGTTCATTTGGTGCTAATAACTGATGAATGGAGCCCTTTCAGACCTCTCCATTTGGGGACGAAGTCGGAGACAACGTGGCGAAAATCAGAGACATTTCCATGTAGTACAATAGAGCGACTTGAGTCACGTGATGCTACTTGATGCGCAGCATCCTGAGTCCTGCAGGCCTTGTGATGCTATTGGGTGAGGATTACAGCTTAGACAATTTGCAGCTGGGCACGCTTTGGAGGGAAGCCTTATCTATCAAAATCCCTTATTATATGGGACATTATGGGACTGTACTCTACCCCTGGCCCCGGACTACTTACCAGAATGCTTTTGCCTAAGGATCTTACTTTGGTCTGGAATGCCCAAAGCAACTCCATTTTTCTAGATCGTGCATTCATTTAGATTCGCGTAGGGCCTGAGGCGCCAAGAAGTTTGATTTGGACCCAGTTTAGACCACCAGTGGCACTGTTTTGTGTGAGAGACTTGTCGTATGCAACGGCAGACCAGTTGAAGCAGGCTTGCCACCACGTCCGGCTGGGAATGTAGGGTCCCGAAGTGTAGACCGAGTGCCTCAGTGACCCTCACATTGAAGAAACTATAAGGAACTGGCCTCAGTTGATTCATGAAGGAACTTCCTCCTCAGACAGGGGTCCCGATGTGCATCCGAGGCAGTGGCAGGAAAACGGCGATTTAGCCACTGCCTTGTGCAGACAGGCTGCCAGGACCTGCGGCATTCGTGTGGCGGTGGCATGTGTTGACATTGCGAGCGGATCACATGCGATGTTGTGACACTATTGTGCCACTGCTTCTACATGTGTCAGTCACGCCAATCGAGGTATTGCTTCCCCAAGGTGGCAAATGTTGTGCCACCAAAATGACTTGAGAAACAGGCGCTATGTTGAGGGCGAAGCAGACTGGAGAAACGCTTCGTTTGTGCAGGAATCTGGAGCGCACAGAGAGGGAGTTGTGGACGCTTCCAGCCAATGAAAGCCTTGCACAGACAAGAGATGCGGCCACATTGGCGGTGAATGCGTCACTTGTCAAAGTCTGGGGGCTGGGGATGTGCAGCAGTGAGGAGGTTTGTCAGAGTGAATCCCTGAGCTGAGGTGAACATGTCGCGGAGTTTCATCGACAAGCATAGATTTTTCACACAGTTTTGCGCATATGGGTTGCATGCACCGTTGACCACCTACTGTCAACCCAAGTGTGGTGCCACAGACGATAGGTAGGTCCACTAGAATGTTTTGAAGGAAAACCTCTGATCACTTTATTTGAAACTCTGAGGAACGAAGAGTCTCAGAATTTGGACTTTTTGTTGTTTTTTCTACTAGCGAACATTGTACGTTTGATGTCACACAGCAATGCAGTCATAAACAGCGTACAGATCACAAGCTGTTTGAGATCAGAACTTGTCAGGAAGTGTTCCCTCCAATGAGTGGAACTGCCAAAGTCTCAATGACATTTGGCTCAAGGCTTGAAGTGAAAAGGCGTTGGCCTTGGCTGAAACTCATAAAACTGGGTTATCAGCCGCAGCTCTGCCATAGCTGCGCGCTGTGATCTGCGCTTGCTCGGGTGTATTCCGATCGTTCGCCTCTGGCATTGCTTTGCATCCTTTCCAGCTCTCCAGCTCTTCGTCTTCGAGTCCCTTGACCTTTGCGTTTGCGCTGGCATCTGGGTTCTCAGGCGTTGAGGCTGGAGGGGACGTGAATGAGTGACGAGCCTCCCAAAAGGCCTCGTGGTGAAAGAGGTGGTAAGAAGGTAGTACAACAAAAGATACTCAAGGAAAGGTTTGAGCGTGGTGAGTTTGTTCCAAAGGCCTTCAGAGGGAAGACGAATTTTGGGTTCCCTTCACCGTCTGATTCCGGTAGTGCTACTAGCGCTAATCCGTTGCCACCACCACCCCTTTTGGGGAGTTGTAGTGCTACTAGTCCGTTGCCGGCACCGCCGCCTCCGCCGGTTGGGTTGGACTTACTTGAGGTTCCAAGCTTTGCTGGTCCTTCGGTTCCAATTGCAACAACTCCTTCGGTTGTCACCCCTCCAACGGTAGAAGTTCCGGTGCCAAAGCAAGCAGAAGCCAAGGCGTTCAGTGACTTGTCTTTCAGTGTTGCCCCTGCTTTCCCAAAGAACGATTCAAAGGGTTCAAGTTCTTCTCCTTCAACTTCAAAAGGTCCCCAGTCAAAAGCAAAGCTTTCAGATCCAATCCCACCTGGTTTGAATCCCCCTGTTGCGGCTACTGGTGTTGCCCCTCCTTCGACAGAGCTTCGAGTCAGTTTGGACTTTCACGGAGTCTTGGATCTTGAGTATCCCGGTGCTAAGACCTACAACGGGATTCGCACTAGCTGTTTCGAACAAATCTGTGATTTTCTCAGAGTGTCAAACCACCACCGCATTGGGATTTGTTCTTATATTGGGTTTTCGGGTCAGGATAGTTTGCGCAGAAGGGATTCTTTGCAAAAGGAGGTTGTAAGAGCGAACCGGATTCTGTTTGAAAAAGGAGTTCCTTCATACCAGAAGATTGTTCTTGTAATCACTGACGATCGGAAGAAAGCTGAGATTTGTAGGGAATCTGTGTCATTTCATCTTGACGATAAGTTAAGCGTTGTTGACGCAGTTTCTAGTCGGGGCGTGACGGGTTGTTTGTATTCAGCTTCCTCGGAGGGTGGAAGACGGTACCGTTCTTTTTCGGACCTGGCTGCTTTCTTGGAGTTCACGCAGACTGAGAGCCCACGAGTCTATCCCCGAGATTTTTACCACTGAATCTTGGCAGCCGTTTTAGAAACCATGAGTGGCTCAGGGATTTCGTCTTCTTTGAATTTGTCGGCCTCTTCGGGCTTGCAAGACGCACCCATGGGAGCGCCTGGAATGACTGAGTCCCCAAATGATTCAAGGTCATCTTCTGTCAGATCAACTCATGCTCCTAAAACAAATGTGAAAGTGAAGCGGTCATCCTCAGCGCTTGCACGTTTAGGGCAAAGGTCATCGCCAGCGTCAGCGCGGGTTGACCCTAAGAGGATTGTTGATAGGAGTAGGCCATCACCATCTCATGAAGAAGTTGACAGCGAAATGGAGGTACGCGAATTGCAGCAAACAGGGACTCGATACCAACAACTGACCCAAATCTATGTAGCTCCTTCCCAAGACCCCGAAATCATGAACCAAGCAGCCAGTGCGGTTTTTGAAGCACAGCAGAGAGAACAGTCAGCTCGTACTGAGGCTGAGCGAATTGTCATGGCAACTCATGCTAAGGCACTTCAGGAAGTGGCCAACGCCACGACTCAGTCTCAAGAAGCTGAACTAAGGGCTGCTAAGGAAGTGCAGGACATTCGTGCATATGCTGCACATGAGATTGCAGCTTCTCAAGTTGGAGCTTCCCAAGCCGTTGCTTCCACACAACTGCAGGCTGCTGAAGCTTTGGTATCACAAGAAAGACACCTGAGGGTTGAATTTGAAAAACGGGCGAAAGAGCTGTTGGAACAAGTGAGACAGTTGAACGAAGTAATTGCTAGGTCTCAGCCAAAGGATTTGAGCCATAATGACACGGCCCTACATGCGAAAATCGACCAGCTTGTTGAAAGAATGGTTTCGTTTGAAAGTGACTTGGTTGAAATGAATCAACGACTCGTTGCTTTGGAATCATGGGGGTTAGAGGTACCAGATGCCCCTGCCGAACATGATTCGGATGAAGAACTAATTCCACCAATGAATGTGAGGGTTGGTAGGTCCCCCAAGGGATTGGCTTCGTCTAGGATTGTTGATTCCGATGATCAGGATGAACCGAGGACACTGGAGGATTTGTGCCTTCGATGGAAAGACGTGTCTGCTGTGAGAATGCCTTCCCTTCCGGAGTCAGCAGGGTCTCTAAGGGCTTGGAAGAATGCTTTCATTCCAACTCTTATGGCGCTTGACAAGTCTAGTCAAAACCACCTGTTTACGTGGCTAATGACGGCCTTCAACGCAAGCTCTTCAACTGAAACCGAACAACTTCGCAACGATTCTGATGGTTTTCCGCGATTTGATCGTGTGTTGTGTTCTTGGTTTACGAAGGATTCTTGCCTTAAGGGTTACTTTGGTCCTCGGATTCAAGCTTTCATTGAAGAGTGCATGACCAACAATACTCCTCTCAGGGGTCGTCCATTGTTGAACATGGTGGTTCGAGAATTCGATCTCGATGCAGCTTTGGGTGGCGTGGTGTCATCAGTTGAGTTGTTCCAGTTGAACGCGCCTGAGTCAGATGTGGCTTCTTTGATCCATTTCAGGGATAAGGTTCAATACATTTTGGGGCAACTACCAAATGCTGACCGACCAGCGAATTCACTCATGTCCAAATGGCTGTTCGAGAAACTCAAACGTGTCAAACCGTTGCAGTTGACCATTGATAGGATTAGGGAATCGCCAGGGAATTCTCAAGAACGTCAGTTTGACTATCTTTGGAACCGACTGTTGCGTGTGATTGCCGAAAACCAGTATGACAAGAATCTTGATTCAGTCCGCGAGGGTCTGCGTAAAGGACCTAAGAAACTTGCAACTCCTGGACCTGTGACTGAAAAGGGCAAAGGGGAAAAAAGGTCAAAAGGTGGTAAAGGCCAAGGGAAGTCCAAAGGTCAGGCTACCAAAGGGAAACCTTCCTCAAACGCTGAGAAAGTGCAATCCACCACCAAGGGCCAAGCGAGCAGTAGTTCTGGTCAGCAAGAGTCTAAGGATTCAAAGAATCAAAAGGAAAAGGGTGCATGCATCTTCTACCCCAAAGGGCTTTGTCGACGCGGGGCTGATTGTCCCTACAAACATGAAGGTCCCGGTCCAAGTTCTAGCAACTCCAAAGGAACCACGGCCAAAGCCGTGCCCAAGCCCAAGGCTGGTTTAGTTGCTATGGTTGTTCTTGGGGCAGCTGCCAACGCAGCTCACGTGCCTGTTCAGCAGTCCTACTGCTATCAGGTTGAATGGGCCTTGGATTCAGGTGCTGGTGAAGACCTCGCCTCGATCAAATCATTGATGCGGCAGGGCATTCCGGAGACAATTCTCAAGGAGTGCGAAACTCTCTCATCTTCTCCTCTCACGTTCGATACTGGGGGTGGTTTGAAGGACGCTTCTTGCACCTTGGGTGTCGAGGGAGACGTGGCTGGTAGTGGGTTCATGTATTTGTTGAAGTCTTGTCCGTATGTTCGTTCATTAGGTAAACTTGTTGAACGTGGTTTTTCTTTCATTTGGGGACCCGACTACACACCAACCTTGATTCCGCCGCATGTTGACTTTCACGCTTCTTTTGAACCAGAGCATTGTGTGGAGGCTACAAGGGTCGAACACGGGGTACCTATTTTCAAAGAAAACATTTCTTTTGTTCCCGGGATGCCTGCGCAAAGCGCGGACCCAAGTCATGCTTTTCCAGTGGGTAGAGACGATGAACCAATCATTGAAGAATCACCTGCGTTGTCACCTGAATTTCCAGAGTCTGAAATAGATTTGTTTCCTTGCTCTCCTGAAAGTGCACCAAGCGGGGGGTTACTTGAAGCAATTCCGGCCCCAAGTCATGAATCCAAGATTCCACTTGAAGCACCCAATCCAAAGATTCCAATTGACCATTTGCTCACTCATCAGCCTGCGCATCCTGCGTGTGACGTATGTAAGCAAGCCAAGCTACGCTTCCATGCCCACAAACGATTCAAAAATCAACTTGATTGCAAGAAAGTAGCGCAGGTGATTGAGGCACCCCGATCCTTTCTTCAAAGAGTTGCTTGTGACCACTTAGAAGCTACCGAAGAGGGTTCCCATGGAGAACAGTACGCTCTTGTTTGCGTTGATGAGTTTTCTGGTGTTATTCATAGTTACCCTTCTTCTAGCAAATCTCAACAGTCAGTCGAAACTGCCTTGAAGCACTTCTGTAGAGAGTTCAATCCAATAGTGGCTTCTGATCGATATCCTAGCATCTTGTCAGCCGTCAGGTCGTTGGGTTTGTCTTCTGATCCTAGCCCACCGAACGTTCCTATTCACAACTCTCATGCTGAATCAGCTATCAAAGCCGTTCGCCAAGGGACTCGTTCCTTGTTGTTGCAAAGTGGTTTAGGTGTGAAGTTTTGGCCTCGAGCGATGTCTTGCTTTAGTTACCATTACAATTTCACCACACTTCCTGAACTTTCCCAAGGTTCTCTTAGAGCCCTGGTTCAGGTGCATGATGCTGTGTTGCCTGATGGTGTTGAGGGTCCTGTTCCACCCCCTCCTGTGTATGACAGCAAGCTTCATATGGCTTTAGGATACCAACCTGACACTCGCATGTTGCCTTTTGGTGCCCTGGTTTGGTGTTTAAACAAAACCAAAGACCCCAAGGCACCCAAGTCTTTCGAACCTACTGGCATCCCTGCATTGTATGTTGGCCCTGAAGTTCTTCCTGCCATGCGTTGCAAAGATGTTCACCACTTGTTTGACCTGGCTGATTTGACCAGCTACAATAGTGTCCGTTTGATTGTCACCAAGGACTTTGCTATCCCTACTGGTCGTTGGGTTTTTCCTTTGACTAGTGTCCCCATGCTGAAATCCATCTTGCCCGAAAACCCCCAACAACCGGCTCCAGCCCTCGACGATGAACCAGACTCAATCGAGGAACCCCGTAACCGCTCCATCACTCGACGGCGTCTTGCTCAATATGGTCCCACCGATCTTTGTGATGGTTGCCTGCTGGGTACTTATTCTCATTCTCCTGAGTGCCGTTCCCGCTTTAACAAGTTGTTGGATAGTGCTGAGCCTTTGGTTGTGGTTTCCGGGGGGGGTCTATTGATGGACGTGGCCATGGTGACTTGGATTTGGATGAGTCCATGCGGATGTTCGATGTCAGGGTTGAAGATGGTTATGATTCGGATTATGATTCTCTTGATGGTTGGAAACCGCAATTTCCTCTTGAGCCACGTGGAACTGAAGGGTCTGAATATACCCCCTCTAGCCCAAGGGTCAGTGAACCTGATGCTAGTCTGTTTGATGAACAATTGGGGGAGTTTCTGCCGGTTCCGGGGGGGTGTCATCAAGAAAGTAGGAAAGGTCAAGGGAACTTTCATCGAATTTTGCTGTGAAGAGAACTCATCAATTTCGAGGGTGGCTGATATCCTTGGTATTGCGTATCTTGGCATCACAAAAGAATCTCTCAACATCCAAGACGACGATGCTTTTCAACAACTTCTTTCCTGGTTGCAAGAAGAAATACAGGATGGAAACGGTCCTATTCATTTGTGGAGTTCCCTCCCATGCACGGTATGGTCCCCATGGCAAAGAATGGCCATTGCTAAGTATGGTAGCTCCTACAAACGTAAACTTCAGAAAAGAAGAGCTGAGTCTTTGGAGATGGTTAAGAGGTTTCGTGATGTTGCCGAAATGGTAAAACTTTCTAGGGGAGGTTCCGTTACTTTTGAGTGGTCTCGAGATTCAGAGGGATGGGATCAACCACTTGTCAAAGACACTATGGTGGCGCTCGACCTGCAACCTGTCCGCATAGACGGCTGTGCATTTGGGTTGGCCATCAATGGCAAACATCCCCAGAGGCCTTGGTTGGTGCAAACCGACAACAAACGTTTGGTCAAAGAGTTTCAACACAAGAAGTGTAAACATGAGAAGGGTTTTCATGATTCACTTGAAGGATCCCTAACGACCAAGTCTGGAATCTACAATGTGACCATGGCTACCAGTATTTTGACCACGTTGTTCCCGGGCGTTGTTGCAGACCTTGTTCCTGCAATGCCAGTTCTTCCTTTTAAATTGGATCCCCATAGGGCACGACTTCATGACTTTCACACTCAAGAACTTTGTGTTTTGGGAACTATTCACAAGTTGTTGACCCGTGCAGAAATGAGATCCGATCCCAAAGCTCTGCAAGCAATTTGGGAGGAAGGTCAGGGAGTTCGCGCCAAAGATGTTTGGGACGATAACTCTGTCATGGAAAAGAGTGAAAGGATTTCTCAGGCACAGAAGGACAACAAGGTCATCCACATTGCCGACGTAATGCCGATCGCAAGCATCAAGTTCTGGGAAACCCCCTCAAAGAGAAAGTACAAAGGGAGGTTGGTCTTTAGGGGAGACCAGGTAAAAGATTCTTGGGGTGGAGCAGCGCAGTTTGGAGCGATGTTCAGTACTCCAACTAACACTCAGGCTATAAACTTGGCAGTGTTTTATGGACTATTGTTGGGTAACGAGTTGAAAGCCGCGGATTGTACTCGTGCCTTTCTGCAAGCTATGCTATTGATGAAAGAGGAAACCTTCGTGGTATTGCCTCAAGAACTATGGCTTCCAGGATGGGCTGGAAAGTACAAACAGCCAACGGTGCGCCTGAGAAAGGCACTTTACGGACATCCACTTGCATCAGCGTGCTGGGACCTTCACCTCCGCCAGGTTCTCCAAGGTGATTTGGGACTGTTGCCAATGGAGGGGCATCCCAGTGTGTATTATTGCCCTAAAACGTTTCTTTTAGTGGTGATATACGTCGATGATGTCTTGGTGTCAGGTCCAAAGGCGCATCAATCGGCTTTCTGGAAAGAATTGCAACGTTTAGTGGAAACCGACGAGGTAGAGGACCTCAATCAGTTTATTGGGAGAAACCACGAACTTTCGGAAGGGCAGTGTGTTTTCAACATGGTTGATTATTGCCAACAAGCCATTGACTTGTACCTTGAAGCCGCCGGAAATGTTTCCTTAAGACGTGTCTCCACCCCATATGTCAATGAGGGTGTGCTCACAATGGAAGACTATCAGGTTCAAGGTCAGATTTCCCACAAAGCGTCTAGCGTTTTGATGAAACTCTTATGGGTTTGCCGACTGGCACGGCCAGATTTGGCATATCCCATAGGCATGTTGGCAACTCAGGTGACCCGTTGGAGTCGCAATGCTGACAAACAACTTTTCCGATTGGTTAGCTACCTTCACACCACACGTGATCTTTGTTTGGTTTCCCGTGTTGTTGATGCACCTTCCTCATGCTCGCTCTGTTTGTACGTAGATGCTGACCTGGGGGGATGTCCTTTTACAGCCAAATCTACTTCTGGGCTTTTCTTGGTCATCACTGGGCCAAACGGGACTTTTGCCCCAATAGCATGGTCCTCTAGGAGACAACAACATGTGGCTAGGAGCACGGCCGACTCGGAGTTGAATGCTCTTTCAGAGGGTGTGCATGAGGAACTTGCTCCAGCCCTCATGTTACTCCAAACTCTTTTGGGCAAAGAAACCCCCAAAGCCATTGTCAAGGAAGACAATTCTGCTGTAGTTCACTCTATCCGCAAAGGATATTCCATTAAGCTTCGCCATCTAGCACGAACACCCAAGTTGTCACTTGCATCCCTGAACGAAGCCTGCACCACCTGGTGCCAACTTGAGCAGACACCCACCCGAGATCAATTAGGAGATATATTCACTAAGGCATTAACCTCAGGCAAATTTGATCCTCAGTCCATTGGTCTCACTCACTGGGCCTCGTCCACACCTTAGAGTTTGGTCAGAACCCTAGTTGCCAGCCTGCGGTTGCCTTAGTTGGAGGTGCCTTGGCCTGAAGACCAAACAGGTTTGGGGTGAGATTCCTGCGCTTGCGCGGACTCATCCGAGGAATCTTGTGCTTGGCGCTGGCTTTGGCTCTTCACTGCATGATTGCCTTTTTCTCGCTGCTGCCTCCAACGATGGCTGCTGATGAGTGGGCATTTGTTTGAACAATTAGGATCTTTTGCATTTTGTTTTGCTGTGCCTTACGGTTGAAATAGGTCCACGCCTAAGATGCGAGCGCAGCCTTGGCCGGGGAGGCTGCATTCGCAGCTGACTTGGACTTGTTTGCTTCTGACCTTCATTTCAACCGCGGGGGGACGTTTGATGTCACACAGCAATGCAGTCATAAACAGCGTACAGATCACAAGCTGTTTGAGATCAGAACTTGTCAGGAAGTGTTCCCTCCAATGAGTGGAACTGCCAAAGTCTCAATGACATTTGGCTCAAGGCTTGAAGTGAAAAGGCGTTGGCCTTGGCTGAAACTCATAAAACTGATTGTTACTACTAGTAAGGCACTTGTTACTAGTAGCGATGCACTTGTTTCTACTAGCGAACCTTGTTACTACTTGTCATCTGAGGTGGGGTTCTGTAATGTTGCAGGGCCGGAAGTGCTGCACGTTGCCAAGAGCTCCATACTGCATCGACACCAGTTGGTCGGCCTCGACTGCAGCTTGGCCACCACTAGGCGCTTGGCGCTGTTCAAGATTTGCAAACCACACACAGCGACATGGGCGGCAAGAGATGCACACGAGGTAGCGATGCCCTTTGCTCCTAGTAGCTACTTGCCCCTAGTAGTACGGCCAGGAGCCCCTAGTAGCGTCCGATCGCTCTTAGTAGCGATGCCCTTTGCTCCTAGTAGCGTGATTTTTCTCATAAGTCCAACTTTTATCGACAGTCTTCCGCATTCCATGGTCTGCAACACTACGTGGAGGATTGTGTGGGATTGCTTGCCAAGAGGCGGCAAGGGTTTGGGGTTCTGACAGAGTCATTCGCCAAGGTCGCCTTGCTCGTTCCCATGGCATGCTTGGCGATCTTGCTTCTGGGCGCATCCACATGCCTGAACTTCAATTTCACAATTTGTTTCGTAGCAGTCCAAGCTTGGAGTGTGATTTTCGGTCCCACCCCTGCCTGAACCCAAATGCAGACCTGCACAAGTTTGATCCAACGAAACTGAGGTTCACCATCTCGGTGGTCTCATCATGGATCCTCCCGCAGCCCAGTAAAGACACCGAACAAATGACTGAACGCGACTCGATGGCTGAATTGATCCGAGTTTCACTCGCCTTGCTTGAATTGAAACGAGTTTCACCCAAAGAGTAAGCGGTCCGGTCCTGGTGATTGAAAGTCAAAGCCGAAGAGTAGCTATCCAATAGCTATTCAGGCTGGTCTACGAGTGTAGCTCTTAAATTTGGAGTTTTCTTCACCAGCCAGAAGCATCACCACAGTGATCAAAGCATCTGAGGTGAGGAAGTCTTTCAAAGCCGACCTGGATCTCGCACTCCTCGAGTTTCCTGCCGAAGCGCCTTGAAGAAGGACTCGTGACATGTGCAGTCAATTGGCTCACAAACATTGTGCAAAACCTACCTTTCAAGATCAAGGCTCCACAAAGACCCTCTGGTGACCACCCCCCTATACCCCATGTACCCCCATGTAGAAACAGCCGCTTGATCACTTGCTTTGATGTTGGAAATCTCTGGAACACACTGGTCTGGACCTATGACTAGCGCTGTGAGATGAACGTGCATTAGGACGCTACTAGGGGCTCCTGGCATCGCTACTAGGAGCAAGGACGCTACTAGGGGCTCCTGGCATCGCTAC